GAACTAGAACTGAACTAGAACTGAACTAGAACTGAACTAGAACTGAACTAGAATTGAACTAGAACTGAACTAGAACTAAACTATAACTGAACTATAACTGAAATCGAACTGAACTAGAACTGAACTAAAACTGAACTAGAACTGAACTATAACTGAACTAGAACTGAACTAGAATTGAACTAGAACTAAACTAGAACTAAACTATAACTGAACTATAACTGAAATAGAACTGAACTAGAACTCAACTAAAACTGAACTAGAACTGAACTATAACTGAACTAGAACTGTACTAGAACTGTACTAGAACTGTACTAGAACTGAACTAGAACTGAACTAGAACTGAACTAGAACTGAACTAGAACTGAACTAGAACTGAACTAGAACTGAACTAGAACTGAACTAGAACTGAGACTAGAACTGAACTAGAACGAACTAGAACTGAACTAGAACCTGAACTAGAACCTGAACTAGAACTGAACTAGAACTGAACTAGAACTGAACTAGAACTGAACTAGAACTGAACTAGAACTAGAACTGAACTAGAACTGAACTAGAACTGAACTAGAACTGAACTAGAACTGAACTAGAACTGAACTAGAACTGAACTAGAACTGAACTAGAACTAGAACTGAACTAGAACTGAACTAGAACTGAACTAGAACTGAACTAGAACTGAACTAGAACTGAACTAGAACTGAACTAGAACTGAACTAGAACTGAACTAGAACTGAACTAGAACTGAACTAGAACTGAACTAGAACTGAACTAGAACTGAACTAGAACTGAACTAGAACTGAACTAGAACTGAACTAGAACTGAACTAGAACTGAACTAGAACTGAACTAGAACTGAACTAGAACTGAACTAGAACTGAACTAGAACTGAACTAGAACTGAACTAGAACTGAACTAGAACTAGAACTGAACTAGAACTGAACTAGAACTGAACTAGAACTGAACTAGAACTGAACTAGAACTGAACTAGAACTGAACTAGAACTGAACTAGAACTAGAACTGAACCAGAACTGAACTAGAACTGAACTAGAACTGAACTAGAACTGAACTAGAACTAAAATAGAACTAAAATGGAACTGCAATAGATCTAGTACTGAACTAGAACTGAATAAGTTTTGTTGAAAACATACTTACCATTTTAAGATCATTATCTAACAACTCCTGCTCCTGGCAAAGTGTTTTAATTTCATCATAATATTTACTATTTAAAGGTTGCGTTACAGATTGCTCTAGATATTTTTGAGACATCAACTCCATATCTTGATTATATAATTCCTCTTCGGCCCACATTAAATTTAAATCATTGCGCATACGCTATACAAACAAAATAAATTCTAATTAAGAATAAAAGAAAATTTTCCTTTTCAACAAAGTTCATCACCTCATTTTCTATATGATTTTGTAAGCACTGTAATTCACGTTCTTTTTGTAAAATTGCCTTGCGTTTTGTAGAATCCTGTAGTACAGCCTCTACTTCACCTTTGCGCTGTCGAATTTCTTTTTGATATAACAGCAACATTTTACGCTGGCAATTAAGACGTTCCTCTTCACGTTTTAGTGTGTTCTGATAATACGCCTCAATATCTTTCATTCTTTTGGCATGTTCCTCTTGACGCAAACCATTCTCTAGGCGCTGCATTAGTTTTAATTCTTCCAATTCCAACTCACGCATACGAGCATCCAATGCCGAATGTACGCTTTGTAAATCTTGCACTTTTTCTTCATATTTGTTTAAGCATTTTTGTGGATATTTAAAGAATTTTGGATAAACATTGGGAGGTATGGCTTGGAAAGCTGAAAAGTATCTTTGAGGATGTAGAGCAGCAGGACATTTGTTTAATAATTTGAAAGCTTTAGAAATTAATTTATTAACATCTATGGGATTTTGTTCCTGGAAAAATATTTCTATAACATTTTTATCCGGCAGTCGGATGAGGAGTTCTTTCTGCAGAATGCTATACGAAACCACCACAAAACAAAGAAAGTAAGCAGGAGCTGAGATGGCATTATCCCATAATTGCTGCCACTGGTCCTCGTCTAAAACTTCAGCAAAGGCATTTTTCAGCAAGGACCAAGCAAATATTGTGGCTGTTATTTCTTTCGATTGATAAAATTCATAAAGACCTTGATCAAAGTGCTGCAGAAGATTTGTACATAAACCCAAATAGTTTTTGGGCTCTAGAGGATGATATTCAAAAAATAATTGAAATTGGTTTTGTATTAAAGTGCAGCAAACTTCAAAGGCGGTTAAAGGATTTTGTTGAAACATTTTCACAAAGGGAAATATAAGACCAGGCAATATTTCGCTGTGTGCTAGAACTTTACACCATTGAGCCAGACAAGACCAACATTTGATTAAAGATCTTTTTAAAGTGTTATTTTTTAACTGTATATTTTTCGCCTGCTGGTTAATGGCTGAGGGCACACCCATTTTTAAAAGTTCCTGGTATTGTAAACGATTATGGGGTAATTTCAATAAAGAACACCAGATTAATGCACGATATTTGGCTGGATAACAATGATATTCTTGTAAAATTTGCTGTAAACGTTGAGGTGTTAACAGTTTCTTAAGTTCATCTTGAAATTGACAATCATTTACATTTTCCAGCATTCTAACTGGTTTCTTTTGTTTAAAGGCGTTCCTAAGTAAAGACATACAATTCTTTTGTGATTTTAAAACAGCCAACAAATGTCCCAAGGACCATACATTTAATTCACCCGATATTTGGGATACAGCTAGATACTTGCTATCTAAAGAAATACTAAGATAACGTGAAGATCCCAAATCCACAATTAATTTGTACTCCACTTGCTCACAATCCAATAATACAATCATTTTACGATTTGTCAAACCCACCACATATGAGTCATTAGGTTTAGTCAAAATGGCCAATTGCAGTAAAACAAAATCCTTTAAACGATACAAACGAATCAGTTCAAAGGTATAACAACTTAATGATAATAAAAAATTATCCCAGGTGGATAATATTAAGGAAGTGGCATCATTTCTAAAGGCAAAAGCTGCTATAGAACCATCCGTAAGATTTTTATTATTATATTTAGGAATACATTGGGTTTCCTTGGTTAAAGCTTCCTCCAAAGCAGAATCTAATGAAAATTCTGCTACATCTGTTTGCTCTTGTGTTAGCAATTTTTTATCTCTTAATTTAAGTGGATATACTATGCGCACCACTTCCAAAGTAACACCAGACCATATGTGTAAAGTATCATTGGTAAAGGCTGTCAATATATGTTCGGAATTTGGTAGAAATGAAGCAAATTTTAAAGACATTACAACTTTATCGAAATCCAAACGATAAGAGCAATTGAAGGTATCCAAATCGATGAGTAGTGCTGAACGTCCGGTCCGTATTAGAGCGAGATTTTTAGGTTCTAATGGTTGACCAGGAAATGTTATTTCGCCGATTGGTTCTCCCGAAATTTGAGTTTGTTTAAGAAGATTGGGAATTTCTGGAATAAAAGTTGGACAGTTTTTTATTATTACTACCGATAATAGATCCAAAGCTTCTGAACTAGAGTTGAACTAGAACTGAATTAAAACTAAACTAGAACTGAGGTAGAACTGAACTAAAACTGAACTAGAACTGAACTAGAACTGAACTAGAACTGTACTAGAACTGAACTAGAACTGTACTAGAACTGAACTAGAACTGAACTAGAACTGAACTAGAACTGAACTAGAACTGAACTAGAACTGAACTAGAACTGAACTAGAACTGAACTAGAACTGAACTAGAACTGAGCTAGAACTAAACTAGAACTAAACTAGAACTGAACTAGAACTATATTAGACCCGAACTAGAACGAAACTAGAACTGAATTTGGACTGAACTACTAAACAAACGAACTAAACAATATTAAGTTCGGTATAATTAGCCAAACACTTACCCACATCTAATAGCACAAGAATACCCTCTTTGGTGCCTATTACATATTGGTTATACTCCTTTCTAGAAGCTATAGCCACGCTGGGTTTTTGTACCCTTTCATTGTGGCGCCAGTAGCGTTTGGTAGTAAAATTGAAAACAAAAATACAACCCCTAGTAATAAAACAAAACAATAATAAACACCTGCTTTAAACTAAACAAATAAACAAACATACAAACCTCCTATCAATGGCCAACATCTGTGTTCCACGCATATCGAAACAACAAACATTTAAAACAATACGTAACATTTTATTATTTTCCTTAATTGTATGATGAATAGTTAAAATATTGCTGAAGAATATAACAAACTTTTTAGTGGAAGAAATGAAGGATTTAAGAAATTGTAGGCAACTTACCCACTGTTTTGTTCCTTTAAAGCAAAGGAAGACTTTTTCATTTTTACCGCCATTGCACCTGTTATAGGAATAGTATGTTCGCATTTTGTTTTAGTTGTTGCTTCTGGTTCAAAATTAGTTTCTTCATTATTATTGATCATAATTTTGTTTATTTTTTTTTATTTAAATTTATTAAAATCTATTATTTACAATTAATTTTCCGCTAAAAAACTAAACACACACAAACACAAAGAAAAATGTAAACAATTTGTTTGGATTTATATATACAAAAGCTAATGGGTATGAAAATATTTTACTTCAAGGAAAACTTGGTAGCACCTTTTTCTAGGATCATGAAAATTTGCTCAACCTGAACAAATCAACTTTTTCTAGAACTAAGCTATGAACTTAATGGTAGGGTATCTGAGCAAAGTCTTCCTAACGGTAAGGAATATACATGTTTGTGTGTCATTTTGAGTAAATATTGCTGAGTACAGAAATTTGATTTAGCAGTTAAAGTTAGAAATACGTTATAAATTTAAATGTGTTTTTAAAGTTATGATTTGATTTTATGATTTTATAAGTGGTCATAAAAACTAAAACTTAGAATTTGTATGTTTTTAAACTGTAAAATAAAATTATGTATTTTTTATTTTTTATATTATAACTTGTTTTATTGTATTTTTTATTTTGTTTTTTT